ACCGTCTGACAGAGCTGGGAGAGTGAAGGCTCTGGGCTCTAAGGGCCTTGGCCATACCCTGAAGAAAGTGGGGACCAGAGGAGGGCCTGTGTCCTGCTTACAAGTCATTGGGTTGGGGCAGGACAAGTCCTTGAGACCCTAGAAAGGGTGAGTCCCCTCTTTTGTCCTCTCTGGAAAAGAAAACTGCTTCCTGCAGCCCCTGGCCTGTTCCTTCTGATTCGCAATCTCATCCTCTCCTCCGTGTCCCTGTCTCTTACTCAAGCAGCTGCTGCAGCAGCAGGAACCCCTGAGCCTCTGAGTCTTATTATAGACCCGTGAGGAAGACGCGCATTGCCACTCACCTCCCAGGCGAAGGTGGAGGGGAAGCAGGGGGCCACCCAGCAGCAAGAACGGAGCCTGGGCCGCAAGCCTGATCCAGCGGCAAAGTCTGCAGAGGGCCTGATCTCTACCTCGTCGGGGCCCATGGTAAGAGCGGCAGTGGGACTGTGACCAGTGTTGCCTGTAGCCTCACTCTGCACCCAGCAGAGATGTCCCTCAGTTTCCCCACTTGTGACACGGAAAGGCCCAGACACAGAGGAGGCCATATGACTCTGAAAACATTTTAGAGACCAACACATCAGAGAGGCAACAAAAAGAGGTGGGAGGCTGGGGGCAGGGACACTGGGGAGAGTGTGGGGTAATTCCTGAGTCCCAGAGCCCAGAGCTCAGCACTGTGCCTCACACTGAGGGCTCCTGGGGTTCCCTGAGCCCCCCACGCGACCCCCGATCACCCCAGGGAGGTTGAAGTTTTCCTGGTTTCTCTGCCCCCTCAGTCCTTTCCTTCCCCCAACCCAGGGAATCATAGCTGGGAACAAGAGAGGGAATGACAAGCAGTGTAAAGAGATACCGGGCCCTCTCCCTCACCCCTGGGCTGGATGGGCCTGGGCCTTAAGTGCCTGCTTCTGCTCAGTGTGTTCTCTTTCTCTCAGGACTGACAGGTAGCATCTACCAAGGGGCTCCTCTGTCCCCAGAGGTGCAGGACTGTGAGAGCTGTGGCATTCACCATGCTGGCCCCCAGCAGTGGCCCAGAGCAGAGGACCAGGCTGGCCCTGCAGTGGAGGCAGATCTCCTGTGAGTATGGTGGGAGGGTGGGGTCAGGGTGGCGGGGTTAGTGGGGCCTGCAGTGATGCATTCGGACTGCTGGGAGGCCTGAGATCTTCCCAGGAGGCCCAAGGCCCGGCTCTGGGAGGCCAGGGATTACCCTCTGCAGACCTGCCATGTTTCCGGCACCTGTGATGGCTAAAGAAAGAGTAGCTGCTGAGAACCTCAGTGGTTGGATCAGGAGCTGGAGGTCTGTTCCTGAACAGTGAAGTCCGCTGCCACCCACCCCGTGGTTCTGGCTCGAGTGGCCCTGTTGCTGTAATGTGAGCCTCCCTCTTGTCTCGCCTGCTGGATGAACATGGAGACCTCTCTTTTGCCTCAATCTCCCCAACTCTGAAATGGGGGAACTAGTGGGCTTTTGGGATGTGGTGCTGGAAGGGACCTTAGGGACTGGTCCGACCCCTTGTGAGGATGAGGAAACAGGCCCTCCAAGTCCCATAAGGAAATTTACAAAGCTGTCAGGGTGAAAGCAGCCCTGAGAATTCTCTTCATGTGTGGTAAAGGGACAAGGTCCGTGAGGACCCTGTTGCCCAGGGCTGCGTGGTAAGAGGTAAGAGATGGTCCTGAGGACATAGTCAGCCTGACTTCTCCCCTCCCATGGTCAGCCCATCATGTGGCTGCCTCACACAAGCAGCCTGAATTATTTACCATGCAAGAGTGGTTGATCCTGAGCGATCAGATCCCCTTTCAACCTCATTCTGGAATCACTCAACACCTTGCAATACAGGATTATGTATTCTTGTCACTAGGGCTTTTATGCCACTCCAAATATCTTGGGGGTGGGGGAACAACGGTGTCTGGGTATGAGGAACTGATTGAGAGGGAAGCTGGATGGGTTGAATATTTTTCTCAGGAGAGTGAAATCTGAAGAAGGTCGATTTTAAAATGGCACTGTGGGGGCTGTGTGGGACAGGCTGACCTGGCAGCAGATGGGCTCAGAGGGGTGAGAACGTGAGAGGTAGCAGCAGGTGCCCCCACGTGGCCAGGAAGGGTCTCCAGTTGGCTTCCATGGCCATGCTGGAGCTCACTTTCCCTCGAGAACAAAGAGGCTCAGGTGTCAGCCTTGCAGTATGTCTCTCAGCTTTCATTGACCCTCCAGGCAGGGGAAGGATACAGCTCATCCTGTTCCTTCCACATCTGCCCTTTGGAACACCAGACAACCAGACACCTACCAGACACAGGCCCAACACCATCCCATCCAGGAACCTAGGTTGGGATGGCTGCTTCTGCTTTGGGTGGGGCCAATGGGCCATGAGCTGGTCTGGATATCTCCATTGCTTCTCCACCTGGGGCCTTTCCTCTAGGCCTCTTGGGACTGACTTGGTGTGGTTGAGCTAGTTTGAACTCATCCCTTTTACCTTTCACAGTGAGCAGTCTTCTCTGATATTCAGGGGGACAGTTAAGGTGTTTTTTTCAGACACTCTTAGAAAGGGCTGCTGGACAATAGAATGAGCTGCTCTGTTGTGATTGTTCTCTGAGGCTCCCCCAGGCCTTCCACAGGCTGGGCCCTGTGCTTGCTACTCAGAGAGTCCTGGGCAAAACATGGGATCACAGAAGGAATGGTGCTAATGGGTCCATTCTGCAGAAATGCTACCCTGCAGCCCTTAGGAGCAGGAGCTCAGGCTATGGGCATGAATGGCTTTAGAATGAGAGTAAATATGGAACTTGTCCTAGGCCCCATGATTTGCAATGGCTTGACACAAGCATTCTTCAGTGTGGAGTGGAACTGCGCATCCTGTCCTCATCATCTGCACAGTGGACCCTGGGTGGGCTGGGCTCCTGGCTGGCTCACACTAAGGTGCCGTCTTGGATGTGGGACTCAGCAGATCTGACACACTGGGAGTTGTAGGAGCGGGCTTGGAGGGCCCCTCTGTGCTCTCCCTTCCATGTGTGGCATGTGTTAGCCCAGTGCAGCTGCAGGTTGGGGTGGGGTGCAGAGGGGAAGGAAGCAGCAGTGTGGCCATTTTCTTTTGGATAGAGAACCTTGTCCTGGCAGTGACTCTGGGAGAGGAACACGAGGGCAGGCTTCTCGAACATCCTCATGTCCATTTTGTCAACATCTATGGTGTCAGTGGGGCCCAAGCTCCTGAGATCAGCTGTGGGAGGCTGTGTGAGCTGAGCATCATTGTGGACCAGCATTGCTTGTCCTCTGGACTCAGGCCTGCCATTCCGCAGGATCATACTCCACGAGAGGATTGCTTTGCCAGATGTGCTGCAAGGCAAGGAGCCCTACTGACACTGTGATGTCCATTAATGTAGAAGTGTTTTGGATTTGTTAATTATCTTTTTATGTGGTCAATAAGCATTTGTATATTGATCGTGGCTTGGGAAAAAGGAGACAAAGGCAAGAGGCCATTATGATATGAACGAGTAAGGCGGGAATAGAGGCAGGAGGAGGTAATCCCCACTTGTCACTTTCTTTCCACCTGTCTGCCCCCCCCCGCCCCAGGGATCACCTGCTGGGTCACCCTGTATGCTGTGGAGGCCCTCCCTGCCTGCCCTTTCTCCTGTAAGTGTGACACCCGGAGCTTGGAGGTGGATTGCAGCGGCCTAGGCCTCACCATGGTGCCCCCGGACTTGCCTGCTGCCACCCGAACCCTCTTGCTCTTGAACAATAAGCTGAGTACCCTGCCAAGCTGGGCATTTGCCAATCTGTCCAGCCTGCAGCGGTTGGATCTATCCAACAACTTCCTGGACCAGCTGCCCAGCTCCATTTTTGAGGACCTGACGAATCTGACGGAGCTGCAGCTGCGCAACAACAGCATCAGGACCCTGGACAGGGACCTGCTGCAGCACTGCCCCCTGCTCCGCCACCTGGACCTGTCCATCAACGGCCTGGCCCAGCTGCCTCCGGGCCTCTTTGACCGCCTCCCTGCTCTGCGCTCCCTATCGCTGCGCTCCAACCGCCTGCAGAACCTGGCCCGGCTGACGTTTGAACCTCTAGCGAGTCTGCAGCTGCTGCAGGTTGGGGACAACCCCTGGGAGTGTGACTGTAACCTGCGTGATTTCAAGCACTGGATGGAGTGGTTTTCCTACCGAGGTGAGCACAGCCAGCCCTGCCTGGGTGTGAGGAATTGGGAGGGTCACCCCTGGCCCAACAGATTCCTGGAGGCCGGGAGCTGACTCAGGGTGTGGGCCTGTCTTCACCAGCCACGCTGAGAGTGACCAGCAGGGCAGAGAGGCCGGGTGCTGCTCTCCCCCCCCCCACTGCTCCCCTTTCTTCTCTGTTGCTCCCTCCCCACTCTCTGCCTGTCTCTTCTCTTTTTCTTTCAGATCGACTCACTGTTATGGTCTCACTTTTGTAGGTTTCATGAGGGAACTTAAAGATACAGTATAATTTTTCTCTGCACCCCTCTAGGTGTGGTTCTGGGATTCCCTGGCATGGTAGAAGGAGGAAGAAAAACCACCCTGTTTTTCTGAATACAACAATCTCTTAAATATCCACCGTTTCAGGATGGTGGAATGTAATTTAAATCCACAGATAAAACCAAATTTTTATTTTGATGATGACCTCAACTCTCTCCGTGAAGAACTTTTGTGATTGAAGCTTTAATAAGAAGCCAAATGGTTTTGGTTTTACTTTCTTTTCCTTCCCCTATCATTAACCAAGAAGCTTCTATAATGACCTATGAAATGATGGAATGATATGGGAAAGAAGGGCAAAGAAGTAAGCATAGTGGCTAAAAGTGCCAGCTCTGCCACTTGCTAGCTGTGTGATCCTGAGGAAGTTGCTTTCTCTGTCTCAGTGCGCTCATCTGTAAAGTGGGAGCGAATAACACATCTGTCTCATAGAATCATTGTGAGGATTAAATAGGTAATGCACATAGTGTCTGAAAAGGTGCTCAACATAAAGCAAGTCCTCAATAATATTTGTTTGTTCATTTGCTAGTAGTAGTCATGCTATTAAATGGATTAATNGTGATTGAAGCTTTAATAAGAAGCCAAATGGTTTTGGTTTTACTTTCTTTCCTTCCCCTATCATTAACCAAGAAGGTTCTATAGTGACCCATGGAGTGATGAAATGATATGGGAAAGAAGGGCAAAGAAGTAAGCGTAGTGGCTACAAGTGCCAGCTCTGCCACTTGCTAGCTGTGTGATCCTGAGGAAGTTGATTTCTCTGTCTCAGTGCGCTCATCTGTAAAGTGGGAGTGAATAACACATCTGTCTCATATAATCATTGTGAGGATTAAATAGGTAATGCACGTAGTGTCTTAAAAAGTGCTCAACATAAAGCAAGTCCTCAATAATACTTATTTGTTTGTTCATTTGCTAGTAGTAGTCATGCTATTAAATGGATTAATAAGACACAATTTGGTGCCCAGCACAAAGTAGAAGCTCAATGAATATTTGCTGAATGAATTAATATCAAAATTTGTGAAAGGAATGCTAACATTTTCCATCAAAGTCTCATTCCTTTCACTTCATATGCAGCCAGTATCTCAATTATTGCATGACATTCTCAAGTGTTATTAAAAACAATTTTACGTACTGTAAAGTGCCATAAAATGTTAGTCACTATTTTTGTGAGTGGGGAAATAATAAATACTTGCATAGTGCCCAGTTTACAAGTGTTTTTTCATGTATATTACCTATTTTAATCCTCATAGCTAATTGAGATGGCTTCTTATTTTACAGCCAAGAAAGCTAAGACTCATAAGCAATTAAGTACATTAAATAATTTGCACAAGATGACATAGCCTGGATTCACCCTCAGGTCTTTGGAGTAGGAAGATAAGGGTGCCCCTTGCCAACACCCAGCTCCTACCTATAGAAAGGCTGCCCTGGACACATTTCACTGGATGTAAGACTTTCTAAAGTCACCTAGGCAGTCAGCATCTTGGGATGGGGATGGGGGAGAACTAGAGGCCAAGTGTCTTTGATCCAGGCCAATGTGCTATCGCTAGGGAATGTCCCTGCCCTCTCATACAGCCATCAGGGAACGTCCTTGCCATCTCATACTCTCAGCACAAAAGGGCATGGAATGGAGACATATATTTTCAGAAGTTTTCGATAGTAGAGTTGTTGTCAACCTAGCACTCCTTCAAAAAAAAAAATCCTGGGCTGTTTTTATCAGCATCCTGGGGGAAGATTGATGCCTGTTGTACACAGCAGCTGGGCTGGGAGAGGGAACTGGCAGCGATGGAGTGGCAGCAGCCAAGTCCTCTCACAGGCATTTACTGCCTGCATCCAGATTTCACTGGATCCCAGGGCATGTCCAGGCAGCTCATTCTCCTTAGCTGCCCTCATTCTTGCCCTCCCCATGTTCTGCATCTCCATCCCCCTATGGTGGAGTGGGCTTCACCATCATCATGGTGAACCTGTGTACCCATTGCTGTGCCCCCATTAGCACTGGCCCCACTCCTTTGCCCTCACGGGTCTTCAGGATTCCCTCTCAAGATGCTTCTGCACTCAGAGATGCTGAAGTTGGGGTGCTGATGGATTGCTTTAAAGAGGAAAAGAAAAGCATTTTTGCCCAACCCCTTTTCTCTGTACTCCAAGGAGGTACTCTTAGGCAACCAAAAGGTCCTGAATGGAAGAGTGTGGCCTTGGCAGTGACTTGGCTTTTGTCCTTTTGTGAGGAAAGAGCACTGGAGGGATAAGATACTGTGTTGAGCACAGTGCCCCAGGTTTGCAGACAGGTGGTAAGCAGGCAGATTCAGGGGCAAGGAGAGGAGTGGAACTACGGCCTTGCAGGCCTCTTGGTGCTCTCTTTGCACTGATGACTCATTCGTGAGCACCCTCATGTGTCAGCATTGTCTCACCCTGTGGGTCAGTTTGACTCTGGAGTGAGTAGGCATGACTGAAATGGTGTGTGCTTCTCTATAAAATGGGAATCATGACAATACCCATTTTACATGGCTTCTGCATGGATTAAATGACGAAATGTATGTGCCTCACTGACCACGGTACTTGGCTCAACGGATGCTAGTTTCCCTGCCCCCTTCCTCTCCTATCCATCTGATCCCAGGACTGACTGCATTACTGATAGAAACTAGAACTTCTGGCCTTTCTGTTTCTGGGACCTAGGGATGGGGAGAGGGGAGTCCAGTTTTGGATGCCTGGTCAGCCCCTCCTTTTTTATCGCCCAATGCAGGGGGGCGCCTGGACCAGCTGGCCTGCACCCTACCCAAGGAGCTAAGGGGGAAGGACATGCGCGTGGTCCCCATGGAAATGTTCGACTACTGCTCCCAGTTGGAGGAGGAGAACAGCTCGGCTGGGCTGGATGGTCCTGGGCCGCCCTGCACCAAGGCCAGCCCAGAACCTGTGAAGCCCAAGCCTGGGGCCGAGCCCGAGCCAGAGTCCAGCACAGCCTGTCCCCAGAAGCAGAGGTACCGGCCGGTGAGCGTGCGCAGGGCCATCGGCACTGTGATCATCGCCGGGGTCGTCTGTGGCATCGTCTGCATCATGATGGTGGTGGCTGCTGCCTATGGCTGCATCTACGCCTCCCTCATGGCCAAGTACCACCGGGAGCTGAAGAAGCGCCAGCCCCTTATGGGGGACCCGGAGGGAGAGCATGAAGACCAGAAGCAGATCTCCTCTGTGGCATGAGAGCCCAGCCCCACCTGGCCCAGGTAAGAAGGGCGAGGAGAACACACGGAGACCGCTCCAGGAAGGCCTGGCCCTTCTTTCTGTCACAGTCCCCAGCTCTACTTTCCTCCCAGCCCTCTAGCAAACCACCCACAGTGGGGACTGCCAGTATCTGTGGAAGCAGCCATTATGCTGAAGGCTCCTGCGGATGCTCCTCTCCGGTCACCAAATCTTTGGAACACCTCGGGGATCTCCCTGAGCCTCTGGCCATGGGGAAGAAAGAATATGTATGCAAGTGGAGGCTTCTGGACTGAGCACTCCATTGTCCTTCCTGCTCTGGGTGTAGTCACAGCTGGGTGACTCTCCCTACCTCTTGCTCAGCCCCCCTCATCTGCATTTAGGGCTGGGGAGGAAGTAATATGAGGGCCAGGGGTCCAATTCTGTGACTCTCTTCTAAGCCAGGAAGATATTCTTAACCACCCTTCGGTGTGAAAGTTGGGTCCAGCTTTCAGGAGCTGGTATTAACATGCAATCACACCACCCTGTCATCGGGATCTAGCACTTAGAAACACAATGCTGTGAGTATAACACACTCCCTTGGCTGAAGCCACTATGTCCTTATATCTGTTCAAGACCACACCAACCACACTGCTCCTGGATTCACTGATTCCCTCTCACACAAACTCATAGCATCACCAGCAAAATCACATCGACTGAAAAAAATCTCACACGCATGTGCACATACACAGTCACATGGAGACAGAGGTCAGGAGAGCTTGGGGAGCAGAAGCGTGTTTCCCCTTGGATGTCTAGTCCTCAGAGCATGGAACCGTTTGCTTGCTTACTGCAATCTTTTCAAGTCAACAAGGGGAGAAACCCAGGATGACAACACAGGATGCCTTTGAGATCCCCTAAAGTGGGCCAAGTGGATGAGCCTGCCTGTTACCATGGTAACCCTCTCACCTATCCTGCTGGGTTTTCCAAGGACACCAACCCAGAGGCCTTGAAGCTGCAACACCTGTGGATGGCAGCCCCCTGAGAGCCCAGGGAGCCTAAGCACATCATCACTGCCAGCCCCCTGGGGACACCCACCAATTCCACTTCTGTAGCCTGCAGCCTGAGAACCATTGCTCTGCACTTCTCACCCCTCCATCTTCAGCACCTCTGAGCCTGTGACTTTGGACGGGGACTGGGTCATATTCTGTGATTGGTGGCATCTTGGGAAAGCAGGTGGCCTTCACTGAAACTCACTGCCTGCCAATGTCTCCCACACAGGGGCTGCCTTGCTCTGCTTAGAGGCTTCAGTGATGGGGCTCCCTCTCCCACAGTTTGCCCTGCTCAGTCAGACTCCCCAGAGTTCTCCATTGCACCTGGACTGGGCTCCAAAGCAGATCATGGGCCAGGCGTCCTGTTTGTTCTTTGCCTGAACCTACTCCAAAGGGGCAGAGATAACTGCTTGCAGGGGTGTGGGAGTGGCAGTGTGAAGAGGACTGTTTGGGAGTCATTAGTCTGTTTTTCTAGGTCTGCCCCTCCTCTTAAGTCTGATCTGAGTGAGTGTTAGGTCTCCCTCTGCTAGACACTAGTTTTCCCATGACCCACAGTGGTGGAGACACTGGACTAGGTTCTGGCTCTAAGATTGGGAGGGGCGGGGTGCTCAATGGTGCACCAGGAGACAGTTGCCAGGACACTGAGGCCCCAGGTCTGAGGAAGGACAGAGAAGGACAGGGCAAGCCCAGCTCACCTTGCATCTCTCAACCCTTCTATCTCATAGATGAGTTTCGATGGGGAGGGAGTTTGCGGGAGGGGCAGAGTTGCCTTTGAGAAGGCCATTCTGCAGCAAAGTGGGTGCTGAGGGAGCCCCAGCAAGGCTGCTAAATGCCCTCCCCGGGGTGGAGGCACAGTCTTCCTTCTGGTTTGCCAGCTGAAACCAGATGTAGGGATTTCCTAATGGGAATGGGGGAGGGGTGGGCATTGTCAATGGTGGTATCTTCATCTTGAGACAGAAGATTTTTAAAGGCAAAATTATATTTCTGGTTTGTTGTTTCAGAAGACCAATAAAGACTGTATTTTCCTATGTACTTCCTGGTTTCCTTGGGTGGGGAGGGGAGGGAGTGCTGGGAGAGTGGCTTCCTGCCCCCTCATCCCCAGGCAGCTGCACAAAGTGCTGCCAGATGTCACCCCAATGCCCAGAGCTCCGTAAGATAGGTGGGGTCCTCCCACCTATGGCCTTGCCTTGGGGTGCCGCTGGGAGAGAGAAGGCTGAGTTCTGGATGAGAATAGGTCCTGTATTTGAGTGCAGCAAGCTCAGCCACATGCTGGCTTGACAGTAGGGTATGTGAACCTCAGGTGGTTTCCCTGGGCAGCAGCATGGCTGATGGGGTGAGACCCGTCACTGCTCCATGCCCTGTGGGTGCTCATCTACCCTGGCTTCAGTGAACCCACCCTGACAGTCACCGGCAGATGGGCCCATGTGGCAGGAAGGCATACATCTGCCCAGAGGACCCTCGTGTAATGGGAGTGGGGGAGTGTTCCCTAAGAGCAGTTAGGGGACTTCTCTGCTGCCTGGGTTTTATCAGCTGTAGTGAGGATAGTGAAGTTTGCTGACATGAAGGAGGAGCCCTGCTTCACCTATTACCACCTTGCACTTTCAAGACTGACTTCAGGGGCAGGCAGATGACACTCTGGGCTTGCAAATATGATCTTTCCATAGGGCTGAGCAGGCAGGGAACCAGGATTATGGACTGGAGGCCTGGGGGGTGGGGGGACCGGGAGAGGAGATGAGGGAGAGAATGAGGCCTCTGGGGTTGATCATCCGTGCAAAGCCTGAGTGACCCTCCTCTAGGCCTCAGCTGGCCTCTGGCTGACTGGGCCTGGGCGATATGGTTAGCTAGTCTTCAGAGACCAGGATGGAATTTTCACCTTCCCAGTCTTCCTTTGGATGATACTCCAGTGAGCCAGGAGCAAATCCCATGGAGAAATGAACCATCAGATTCCCATTTTTGGAGCTCAGCTGGACTCCTGGCAGAATTGGGCTGTTCCCCTTTCTCAGTGGCGATAACTGTGGGGTGTTGCCCCCCTGTAGCCCTAACAGTTATAGCAGGCCTGAGCGCCAAGTTTTCCCCAAGCCCCACTGCAGAAGTGGAGATAGGGCCCCTCACAAGTATGGGGCAAGTCTGGGCAATGCATAGATGCGTTATTCAATCGCCGTCCTGAGTGTGCGAACAGGTATTCGGTTGGCCCTTCACATGTGGGCAGAATCCTATGGAGAGGAGCCTCGTGCAGCTCCAGGCAGCAGGCCCAGCACACAGAGGCCTCTGCCAGGGCCACGTGTGTATTGCAGAACATGTACTAGAGAAACACATTTACACATTATGGTGCCACCACCGTCGACATTATGTTTGTCAACATTCCCTAACTAGGGCCTGGAGGGCATGGAGAATTGAAAATAGATCCTGACTAAAAAGTTAGATTTAAAGAAATTTTGCAAACACTGTTGATAAATCACCAGCTTAGAAATGAAAATAATCCCTCTGCAATTTGTCTCCCCTCCTGTACCAGCTCATGGCATTATACACGCATCTGCCTGCATGCAGCTGGCCTCTGTAGCCGGTCCGAGTGGCCTTATCTCCTTCCTCAGTGCACAGAATCACACAAGCTCACCCAGTCCTGGAGCTCACATGCACACAATGCTGCCAGTTTCCAAGGGATGAAACTGCCAGGACAGCAAACAAGCTGCCTTGAGCAATAGGCCCCCCTGGCCCCAGGATCAGGGAGGGTGAGCCATAGGCCAGGGAGAGGAAATTAAAAGAGGAGACACTCCTCCCCCCAGTAATTGAAGTATAAGGTCTCCAGTGCCTCATCCTCTTCCTGTCACATCTATGCACCCCAGATCGTCAGAGGGATTGTCTGCAGTGCATTAAACCAGAGGCGCCAGGACACAGTTTCTATGGCAACACCTCACAGCTCCAAATCAGCTCTGAGTTAAAAATGAGAGCATAGCCAGCAGCCTGACCCTGTGTCCTTCTCTTTCCTGGACTTCCAGGTGTGCGGGAGCTGAGAAGGCCTATGATACGGAGGGAGCAGGATAGGCACAGACTCATCTGGAACCAAGAATAGTCTTCAGGGGATAAACATTTGGCCTAGAAATGGGTTTGGAATTAGCCTTGGACTTAGAAAGACAAGGTGGCCAAGTCGGCCTGGGTGCCTTCCAAATGCTGTGCTGGTGCATCCTGAAGACGGTCTATATGCAAGTGTTTCCTAACATGGGTGCTGAGCAACATCAGGCCAAGTCACTCCCCTCCCCCTCTTACCCCTGTCTAAGGAGGGCACAGGGCCATCCTGAGTCAAGCTCCTGGGCTGCTTTCCAGGATCCTGACTCAGGATGGCCCTGTGCCCTCCTTAGACAGGGAGTCAGAGCTGGACCATCTCTGCCTGACGCCAGCCTGCTCCTCCGTCCCCTTTGCCCTGAGCTCAGCCTGAGGGGAGAAGGTGCACTGATCCTGCCTGCCCACCCCACTTCCACTCCCACTGCTGAGTACTTCCACGTGGCTAAGGGCTTCAAGGAGACATGATGGCTGATGCTTGAGTGCCCATTGGATCGCACTTTTCAGGACACAGCTGAATCTGAGACATGGAAACTAAACCCAGGGTAAAGGGGCTTCGGTGCACAGGCCTGGTAGTGCTCAGATAACGAGGCCGCGATGCCTGGGGCTTTTTTAGGCACTAAGAAACTACGAAGTCAAGGGAGCTATGGGGGTCATTGGGTGCTCTCATCACATTTGAGGCAAATTGCAACACAGAATAGTGAACCTGGGCCTTAAAGAGAGGTGATCTGAGTTCAAATTTTAGCTTCATTAATTATTAGCTGTGAGACTTTGGGTAAGTAACTTTTCTGTGTCTGTTTCCTTATCTGTAAAAATGAAGCCAAAAGTCTTGGATTCACTGGTTCACCTTAAGGGCTGAATGAGAACGTGAACGAGAAGCCGATTCCCAGGTGCCTGGCGCATGCCGACACACATACTGAGCTCTTACTTTAGGATGCGAGTCGCAGCTCCGTTCTCTCTTCAATGGGACACTAGACCCAAGGTGGTGAAGAGGGAAACAGCATGCCAAGGGGTGGAAAGGGGGTCTGGGTTGCAGTCTCTGTCCTGTGTGAACTTCAGCAGATCTCTTAACCTCTCTGGGCTTCATTTTACTCCCTTTGTAAATTCTTTTAGATCTCAGGTTTTATTGTTTTATAAACAAAATGGCTTGGGAAGACTCCACTACCCTCAGTCCTACATTTCCCCAGGAAAACTTACAGCCGAGGACTGCGATACCTGCAGACCACAGGCAGGAGTCCTTCTGCCATTACTGTGTGCTTTATTCTCAACATTGACTCATAACCCCCCAGCCTCAGGATCACAAAGGGCAGCTCCTACCTGCAGCAATGGCTGTCTTCTTGTCCACTGTCACGGCTACAGCTGTGCTTGCTGTTACTACCACCGGCTCATCTGGACCTTCTGGGGAAACAAAAATTACAAGTCACTTTCTCAGTGGCTGGTTGGGGGAGCCAAGAAGACAAGTGTAACCAGGCAAGGACATGCCTTGAATAACAGAGGTATTTGAGGAGGCTGTTGCTGGGCAGCTCTGTTACCAAAAAGCACTGGTCTCTGCAGAGTACCTCCTAAGGCCCCTTTCTGTGCAGATCTGAACCTGCCAGATAAATACGGTGTAGCCACTGGCTGCTTGGACAATGCAGTGCTGTCAGTGTCACTAAGACACCAGGAGTTTGCTCCGTCTCAGAGCAGCAAACCTGTCTACTTGCTGCAGTCTCATTTGAACTCCGGGACTCTGTTGTGACTGTCCTCTTGACATGTGTTCCACCTAGAAGAGTTGGGTTGCATCAGATGACTTTTTCTAGCAGAAGGACAGGCTGTGTTCCAGGACTCCATGGTTGTAGATCCTGGATTGCCCTTCATCAGTCACATGAGTCAGGGTGACCTTGAGAGCCTCTTCAGGAAGCCAGACACCAGAGCTGCTTTGGCACAGGAGGCTGGCTGGGGCTGACACGTCAGAGGCACTCCATGAGTGCTGGTTGTTCGTGGCCCGCCCACCACCATACATCATCCAGCCATCACTGGCTTTGCAGTTGGTCACTGCACTTCCAGGGCATGCTGCCAGGCTTCTCAAGGGCAAGGGGCTCTCCCACCTTGTTTAGGAATTAGGCCACAGTAGGTGCAGAATGTAGGTGGCACCTTCAGCTCTACAGAAAGGCAGCTTTCTGGCTGAGCTGGTGCAGGCTAGTACATGACCTTAGGCTTCTCGATTTTCCTGGATTAGCTTTTGAAAGCACTCTTATCTAAGGGTCAAGTTCCGTTACTAAACATTCCAAGAAAGGGGCAAAATTTTATCATGTGCTCTCTTGTTAGAACATCATTGTATGAAATGCTGAAACAAACGGGTCATAAGAATCTTGTGTGGTGATTGTAATCACAGTGTCAGTTGAAATGGAACTTAAATTGATCACTGATTTCTCTTACCTGCTATTTTGCTAAGATCACCCATCTCACCTGGCTGTAATGAAATAACCCACAGAAATGTAAAGTTACTCAGATTCTAGGAACTTAAAATATGTGAAGTTGTCTTTGATTGTAGGATTTGCCATGATGAAGCCACAAGGGACCACAGCGGCCAGAGAAGTTGGCTTCCTCGCCTTGCTTCTAGAAATGTCTGGAAGATACTGGTGTGGCTGACCCGCTGAGGTCTCTCCAGGCCCACAGGCTGCTTTCCTGGACAGGCCTTCCATAGTATGTGTGCTCCATACGCTTGTGGGAAACACCCAAGAGCAGGTGTGGGGGCCCTAATGACATATCTGGGGACATCAGGAATTTTAGCACCTGGGTCACCTAGCAGCTACTTAGTCCAGCACCTGTGGTGAATGAGCAGGCCACCACTTGCTGGGGTGGTGGTGGTGGTGGTGGGGCGCAGCCCAGGGAGATGTGGGCTATAGAAGGGTCAGTAGCAGGCCTGAGCTGCCTGGCCACTGGTGAGACTCTGCTCCCTGCGGGTGGGTTTCTCAGGTGCTGACAAAAGACAGAGCTGTGGGCAGAGCTCAGCCCACCAGGACCAGGGGAATGGAGTCAACCTGGAGAGGCAGGGGGAAGCTTCCACTCACCCGAGCTGACTCCTCTGCCTCCTTGGGGCTCCCTCTCCTCTTAAAATAAAATTGTTGTTTTCTCTCTTGGGTGGAGAATGGGAGTGTGCAGAGGTGTCTATGTGTCTCTAAGCATATGTATGAGTGAGGGTGTGAAAAGGGAGTGAGCTCCTGCCTCCCGACTCAACTGTCCCTCTTTCTGTGTTGCCAGCTTCCCTCTCTTCTTGCGGCTCAGTTCCCACCCACCGACCCTCCTACCTCACTGCCACAAAAAGCTACCCCAGCAACCAGCAGGCCTGTCCTGGTGACAATTCTGGCAGGATGAAGCATCATCCTGGGCTGGGGGCTAGGGCCAGGTAAGCTCCCCAGGATCTGTGGGAACCCCTCTTGGGGAGCCCCTCCTTGGGGAGCCCTCAGTGCTGCTGGAGATGGTGCCAGGAGGGAAGAGCTGCCTCGCTCTGGCTCTGCCTCAGAGTGGGCAGTGTGGGAAGGGGACCTTCACCTTGGCCTTGAGAACCTCCCCCTGAGCTTTCCCTAGGAGTGACGACACCCCCTGGTGCCCTCCCCTTTCTGCCTTCCACTAGTGCAAGAGCTAGCACTTTGGTGGGCAGACCTTGGTTTTAGGCTGGCTCTGTGGCTCCCTGGCTATGTGATCCTGGGGAAGACACAGAACCTCTCTGAGCCTCAGCTTCTCCTTGTGTAAGTGGGGGAGGAATAACAGCACTCACTTTATATGGCTGTGCAGGTAAGTGTGTTACACGGGAAAGCGGTTTGCAGAGCACGGTAGTGATGCATCAGGTGGGAGGAAGAGGCCTGGGGTGGAGGGCTGCTCTTAAGCACAAGGTGAAGGGGCCATCCAGAGGGCACAGAGGGGACAGCCTTCCTACTGCGGCAGCCCCAGAGGAGCCCATCTGTCAGCTTGGGGCATTTCTCCACCAGAAAGCTGGAGGAAGGTTTTGGTGGAAGTGGTGACCCGGAGGGTTTTGGGGGGGACATCTAGAAAGGGAGGTGCAACTCTTCATTCCAGTCGACTCCCAGCCCTCCCCTCTCCTTTCTGAGGTCTCCAGTCCTCACCCCGCTCCTCCTCCTTGGCTCACTGACCTGGATGTGGATCTTTCTAGGCCCTCTCACTCCACCCACTGGGCTCAGACTCCTCCAGAGGTGACTGGTGGAGAGCTTGCTCTGCCCACACTCTTGGGGCCCTGGGTGAGTCCTACCTCGTTAGGCCAGTCTCTTCATAGGTAAGCCAAGATGTGAGGCTGTGTGCCCTCCGAGGTCCTTTCTGTTCTAACTGTTCTACTATTTTCTTGGTGTTCTGTTAAAGTCACTTACTTTTACATTTCGGGGCCATTTTTCAGAGTAAGGGTGGAGGAGTTGGGTGCCTGCAGCTCTGAAACCTGGTCTTGGACTAGCTGGCTTGGTCTGTGGGGCTCAACTTTGGCTGCCCTTCCTCCAACCCTCAAGCCCCCAGTGGCCATCCAGTGGGAGCGCCCCATTATCACAGGGAGTTTCTGAGGAGCAGGCCAGCAGCTCAGTATTGTTGCCCCAGGAGACGCCAGGGAGTGGAGCCCAGGCCACTTCCCTGTCTGGGAAGAGCCGAGGAGGGGCAGTGCCATCAGCAGTACAGGCGTCCCAGATGGAATAAAGTGTCACTTTCACCTGGGTGGTTTAAGGAACTTTCAAAGATACTCAGATGTTTAGAAATAGAAGAATCTTAGAGAGTAACTCTTCCAATATCCGTCTATTTGAAATTTGGGTAGAATCAAATTCTTCTTGATTTTTGGTCAAATCTCTGTTCCCTGTCCCATGCTGGTTTTTCACTGCCAACTTCGACAGCTGGCAGGGAATGCAATGACCCGTCCTAATCACAGGGCAGAGGCCGGCAGTGTGGTGAGGCCCCAGCAAGCTTCCTCAAGTCGCTACTGGGAGTCAGGAGGGAGGCAGGAAGGGGACCCGGCAGCCGGCAGCCGGGACGTTCTGCTTTACACACTAAGAGCCCTGGAGGAGGGTGGCGGCCCTGGCCCCCCGGCGGGAGGGGGGGTGTGGATTACCTGGCCCCTCTGCTGAGCCGAGGTTGAAGACAAAGCTGCCAGCAGGCTGCTCGGCGGCCTGGCGGTACCACAGAGGGAAGTGGTCCATGGTAAACACGCTGGCCTTGTCCTCAGCGGTCAGGAACTTCCTGCAAGGAGAAAGATTTGGTGCCTCCCTTCAGACCTGGGAACACGTTCATCCCCTTTCCTTTCTCACACACGGTCATCTTGGCTGGGCCAAGAGAGTGACTCCCCTCTGCTTTAGTGGACTTGCAGGTAGAAAATGTGGGCTCCTAATCAGTGGCGCCCCAGGCAATGTTCCCAGCAACTCCTGCCCCTCCCAGATGCTGTTGCACCTGATGGCACATCAGTAGCTAGAAGAGGTATGAAGCCTGTATTTTGAAAGAATATTTTCCATTTTTATGTAAACGGCTTTGCCTGCAGGGTTTATTTCTTTTGGATATAGCCTAATTTCTTTTTGTCTGGCTAATTAGAGTGTCTGAGTGCGGAAACTGTATAGTCACCTCCATCCCTGAGCTAACACAGGAGCATAAATTCCGCCAAAATGGTTACTTCAAAAGCTGTTGCTTGTAGGTTTTAGAATGCATTATGAGGTTTCTCTTTTTGAGCAGCTTTATCTTGCTAATTACGGTTTAGCATTCCCTGAACGCACACCAGCAGGCAGAAGGGAATGCTGGTCCAGAAGCAGAGTGGGAGGCAGGGAGAAGCTGGTGGGAATAAAAACGTCACTGTGGATAACCCACGAGGTGGATGGCTGAGGTGGGACTTCAAGACTGGCCTGGCTCACGTGTTCCCGAAGCAACCTGCCTTGTTCCCCAACTCCTGGGCTGCCAGTCACATCACCGTGGAAGTGCAGGGAGCCCTTGGAGGTGTGCAGTGCGTGTGAGGCCATCAGGGTGGCTGGGTTCCTAACTCAGGAAGGCCTGTTTGGGAGATTTCCCTCTTCCATTCTCAAAGACTTTTAGAGAGAGGGTGCAGGGGGCCGCCAAGATGCTTTCTCCCTTCATGCTCTTGGACAGGGTTGACCTGTCCAAAGTTGGCCAGACAGACACATGTGATTTTCTATCTGGGGTGAAGTTTGAGGGGGTGAGGAACTACCAGAGGGTAGTGAGCTTGGGGAGGAAAGGTTCCCACACTTTTTGAGGCCTCAGGGTGAACCCACAGTTTGCCTACCAGCGCAGTCCCTCTGAGCTATTTGCTGTATCTCTGACAGGGCCATGGGAACGGGTAGAAGGCAGCATGTGTCCCCTGTTTCCATTTCCGAGGGAGTGAGGGGAGGTGGGGAGAGGGAAGAGCAACTTCATTAGTTTTCCTAGAAACCCTCAGCTCTCTAGCAAGCGTGGATCTGACACAGAGTCCTGGAAGAAACTCAGAGATGGCACTACGTAGCAAGATGGTAGCTGAGCGCTTGGATTTAGTGAGAGGAAGAGTCAGTGGGTGGGAGGTGAGGATGTGGGTCAGGTTTGCTCAGGAGCCCCCTCAGTTCTTCCCCTCTAGATGCCTGGTGGCCCTGCCCGGCCTGTTTGAGTCTCATGATTTGCAGAGCACCGGTGGCTCTGCTCAGCCCCCTCCCTTCCAAACCCTTCCCTGGGCTCCCACTGTCCCTTTGCTGACACTCAGTGAGGAGGACACCGGGCGGGCTGGTCCCTGGGCCCAGAAAGACTCTCTCCGAGCTGGGCTTTGCTTGGAGCAGGGTTTCTCAGCCTGGGCATGAGGGACGCTTTGTCAGGAGCTGTCCTGCACGCTGTAGGATGGGTTGCAGCATCCCTGGCCTCCACCACTAGATGCCAGTAACAAGCACCCCCTCCTCCAGTTTCTACGACCCAAACTGCCCATTGTCCGTGGGTTGGAGGTGAGTGCAAGTCACCTCCAGTTGAGAATTGCTGGCTCAGGGGATGGAGAAAGTGTCAAGAAAGGAGGGAACACAGCCAGAATATTTAGCCTGTCACATGGAGGCCTTCCCCCGGGGGGAAAGCAATTTCTGGGTTTCCCTCTGACTCACTCTCCTAACTTCAGTCTCAGGGGGCTCTCTTGCCTGACTGGGTTGCCCTCCCTCCTCTTCTGGGGGCTCCTCCAGGATGAGATGGGTGGAAGGGTACTTTTCTGACCCCCACTCCACTCTATAAAGCCCAGCCCTTCCAACCTCCTCGCACTCCAGGAGTCCACGTTCCTGCCTGCGCCATGCCCAGGACACCCTACAGGGACCCCGCTCCGCCACCCAGCACACTCACTTGTCGGAGAGCTTCTCAGAGCCCACGAACAAGCTGCTTCGGAGGAGGCCCGCCCGGGTGCCCAGGAAGGCCATGTCCGCCACGCGCTCGGACTCCCTGTGAGGCAGACAGAGCAGGTGTCACCACCATGCAGCACAGTGGCAGGTCCAGGAGGAGGGCACAGGGAGCAAGGGAAGACCCGGGGGCCCTCTAGCCCCTTGCCCGTCTGACTCGAGGTGGGGCTCCCCTGGGCAGCACCCCTTTTAATAATGGGGTCCCCTTGTCCTCTGCTTCTTCAGATCTAGCTCCTGATTTGCCCACTTAGCTTTTGGGGGACTTGGCTCTGGAAGGCAGAAGGATCTCAGGAAGAGGGATTTTGTCCTGGGACCTAAGGAATAGTAACTTCTCAGGACCAACACATACACAGCACCTCACAGTCTCAAAGTCCTCACATATTCACCTTACGTGAAATGTAAAAGGGGGAGGCGCGGACACTGTCTGCATCACCTAAGCAATCCCGCTGGACTTCATAACCTTGCCAAGAGACTTGAAAAAAATCCACTAGGCAGCTGGAGTGGAACTAATTGTTTTCATGATCTCAAAACCATATCGTTACGAAGATGCACCAGGTTGGCAGTAATCACCTTTTTTTAAAAAAAATTTCAGCTTTATTGAGGTATAATTGACATACAATTGTAAGCTATTTAAATGTACATTGTCCTGGTTTGCTATACGTCTGTGCTGTGAAAGGATTCCTCCCACCCAGTTAATTAACACCTCCATCGCCTCACATATTTATCTATTTTTTGTGTGTGAATATTTAAGATCTACTCTCTCAGCAAATTTCAATTACACACTACAGTGTTATCACTATAGTCACCACGGTTCACATCAGATCCTCAGACCTTGCTCACCTTATAGCTGAAAGTCTGCACCCTTTCGCCAGCCTCTCCCTATTTCCCCACTGCTCAGCAACTGCTTTTCTACCCTGTTTTTGTTTCACTTTTTAAAATTTTATTTTAAGATTGCACATATCTGGTCTATTTCTGCTAGGCTGGTGGTTTGTGTTTTTTTTGTGTGTGTGTGTGTTTTTTTAAATTTGAGCCCAGTTAGCCACCAGGAGCCCTTCCTAGCAGACATCTTTACTCAGGGTCCACACCATCAATAATGCCAATACTTGTCTTTTTGATGACATTCTAACAGGTGTGAAGTGGTATATCATGTGGTTTCGGTTTGCTTCTCCTGATGACTGGTGATGCTGAGCATCTTTTCATGTACCTGCTGGCCATTCATATGTCTTTTTTAGAAAGATGTCTATTCAGATCTTCTGCCCATTTAAAAAAATCAAATTGTTTTCTTCTAGGCGTTTTTTCGGTTTCAAGTCTTATGTTCAAAATGTTTAATTCATTTTGAATTGATTTTTGTGATTGATATAAAATAGTGATCGAGTTTCATTTTGCTTGTGGCTGTCTAGTTTTCCCAGCACCATCTGTTGAAGAGACCACCTTTTTCCTACTGTATAGTCTTGGCTCCTTTGTCATAAATAATTGACCACAATGTGTGGGTTTATTTCTGGGCTCTCTATTCTGTTCCATTGATTTGTGTGTCTGTTTTTATGCCAACATCATACTGTTTTTATTACTTTAGCCTTGTAATATAGTTTGAAGTCAGGAAGTGCAATGTCTCTGCCTTTGTTCTTCTTTCTTAAGATTGCTTTAGCTATTTGGGGTCTTTTGTGGTTTCATACAAATTTTAGGATTGTTTGCTCTAGGTATTTCTGTGAAAAATGTCCTTGGAATTTTGATAGATATTGCATTGAATCTGTAGATTGTTCTGACTAGTGTGGACATTTTAACAATATAAGTTCTTCCACTTCATGGGCATGGAATATCTTTCCATTTATTTGTGTCTTCAGTTTCTTTCTTCAATGTTTTATAGTTTTCAGTGTATAGGTCTTTCACTTCCTTGGTTAAATTTGTTCCTAAGCATTTTATTTTTTGATGCAATTGTAAATGGGATTGTTTTCTTAACTTCTCTTTCTGATAGTTTGTTACTAGTGTACAAGAAAACCTGATTTTTGTATATTGATATTGTATCCTGCAGCTTTACTGAATTTGTTTATTAGTTCTAGCAGTTTTTGTCTGTGGAGTCTTTAGGGCTTTCTAAATATAATATCATGCCATCTGTAAGGAGAGTAAGTTTTACTTTCTCCTTTCTAGTTTGGATGCCTTTTCTTTCTTTTTCTTGTTTAATTGTTTGGCTAGGACTGCCACTAGTATGTTGAATAAAGTGGTGAGAGTGGGTATCCTGGTCTTGTTTCTGATGTTAGAGGAAAAGCTTTTAGCTTTTCACCAGTTACCGTTGAATATGCTATTAGCAGTGGGCTTATCATACAGGGATTTATTTAATCACTTCTATCTTTATTAATATTCTTGCTCCTAGCCCAGTTTATTGCAGGCTATTACCCAATTTCTCTCAGTGCCTGGATTGGTGTTTTTGTGAGTGTATCAGGTAGCCAATACCTAAAGCACTGACAAGGGGAAGCATTCCACC